TGGAAGTTTCACATACTAACCACTTGGCTACACTGCCACGAGCACCTTTTGGGTCACAGGGCAACTGTGAATTTTCAAGGAAGGCCAGGTTTTTTGACATATATTAATCATATATATAATACATATATATGATAGATATATATATAAATATATAATATATCATATTATTTTGGTGGAATTGTCGATGAAGCAAACGTATATCTGCTATAAAAATCGACTACTATACTTTATTTTTCGAATAAAGTATCGTTTTCGTGACTATCAGTAAGTCAGTAATATGAGATGTATTCGCCAGATATTCAACAGATATACATTTGCTTCATAGACAATTCCACCAAAAAGAATATGATATTGCAAAAAAAGGCATCGCCTTCCATGAAAATTCACATTTGCCGGTGATGGTGGACAGTAAATAAAGCACTCTGGATGAGAACAACTTTTGGGAAAGCAAGGCCATGTTAAATGCAATGGAAAGGTCAGCTCTACTCATGTCATTGTGGGAAAATTCTTCTTCTACCAGTCCTTCATCACCTTAACCGAAATTGGGTGAATGCATGTCATATTGCTTTCTGCTTGTCATGCAAGCGAATGAAAATGATGCAGAAAGGGGAGCCGATGTAGTCACGGCTTTTGTCTGTGTAAATAAACTAGCGTGTCATCCCGTAATCTGTAATTCTATCCAGCATCCTAAACTCGTCCTTCATATTCAAGATGTTGTTTGTTTTATTAATTTCAATCGACTCCCTGATCTTCTGCTTAGCTGTAAAGTCGCCATATCCGGCAAAATGTTGGGATTTAGGCCACTCCATCTGACGTCCTGCAATGACAATCTGATCAGCCACCTCCGACTTTGCAACGCACAAACCTTTGCAGGCGGTTCTGTGCTTTGATAGCCTCTTACGGGCCGGTCGACAAGTCTCACCCACGTAAACCCTACCACATGGGCACAAAACTTTGTAACAACCTGACCTGCAGAGGGCGTTGGAAGATGCTCTACAAGAAGCCATGACCGAGGAAAGCGTAATTTTTTCTTTATGCATCGTCTTGGCGCTCCATTTCCTCAGTAATTCGCTTGCACAATGGTGGCATTAGGAACTGGACGAAGAGCTGTCTAATTCCTTGAAGGTAGAATACCTCCCAGTTCGTTTATAGAGGCGAGTGGAAGTGAAAGTTGTAAGTCTGCCTCGCCGGAAGCCGAAGTGGGACTGTCTCGAGGCTGTGACTGTCGATCTGTGCGAACATGTTCTCGACGCACTGCTCTGCGACTCCGATGCATTCCTGTTGAGCGTTCGTCCGTCATGTGACGGACATCGACACGAATTGTGTTCACCCTATTTCGTGTAAAGTGAGGCAGGACGGGCAGCTGATTTTTCCCACAACGACATGAGTAGAGCTGATGTTTTACATTGAATTGCACACAAGGCTACGTGACATTGAATGGAAACGTCAGTTCTACTCATGTCGTTGTGGGAAAAATCATCTTCCAGTCCTTCACACCTTACACGAATTAGAGTGAACACAACTCATATATCCGATTGACTGGTAGTCTGGCTAAACCTACTCGTTTATGGAATTTGTTTGACCTTGTATTGAGGTTGTTTGACCCTGTTTTCGCAACATGGTCATGTTGGTAGGAAGACTTATTGGAACGCACCTAGTCCGGGTTCCATTGTCTG